TTAACGGTTACGTTATTCTTTATTATATATATATATATATATATATATATATAACACACACACACACACACACACACACATGCACACACATAATAATTTCTGCATTCTTGTAGTATTTTCAGAAAGAAATGCCATCTAAATGTGAAACTGATCCCAACTATATAATCAACATGGCTTTGCAAGTCAAGTATAACAGCAAGAAAATGAAAAAGTAAGTGTGGTTTTTGGTCAAAGCTTCCATTGTTCTGGTAGAAGTGTAATCTGCATATTTAGAAAAACAAAACTGAATTACATCCAGTATCTTAGATTAAACGAAAAACAATTCATTTTCAATCAAAGGAGTACATTCTGCTTTCAGGTTGGAAAAAGAGTATTCAACTTTAAAGGCAAGAGAACAAGAGGAAATGATAGAAATGCGAGTAAGTTATTGTCCGTTAGTTTGGAAAGTCACGTAAACATCATACGTCAAAGTAATTATGTTCAAATTGGAATTCAAAATTTAGTGGCTACCCAGGTGATAAATGTGAAATACAACTCACTTTCTTCAGGATTTAGGTCTGTATTAAAATCAGGAAGTTTTGTCTTAAACAATTTTAATTGAGAAAAATAAAATAAAATTACACATTCTGTGAAAACTTTGTCAGATTAAGTAATAACTGTTTCTTGTTTTGTTTTTCTCCCCTAGAGATTAAGGACAGAAAATAGAATACTTAGACAAAGGACACAAAACTTAGAGAAGGTAATTTGTTTTATCTAACAGTAGTTTAAGACAACAATGAGAGTTTATTAGTCGTTTTTAATACTGTTATGGTAGTTTGAATTGTTAAAAATAGCCTTGGAAGCAATTAATAATGTGCGCAATTAGTAGAGCACTTGATCAGCAAGCAAAAGGTCCAAGGTTCAATCTTTCTTAAGGGAGGCACAAAAATTGGACCATCACGGATTTAGATATTTAGCTCTTAAACTGGAGAATATAAAAGAGTCGCTTTCTTTAAACAAACTTGAATTTTGAGTAATGTTTAGCATTGTTTCATGTTTGAATAGGAAGTGATAAAAGTGTCAAGAATTAGTAGAACTGTTTCCAAATGGAAGAAAAAACAGACTTTTCAAATACCAAACAATGTTCGAATTGACGGGGATCTGAGGTGGATGCAATTCCCGTTATTGAAATAAATATTAATTACATCCTTTTGTCAATACATTCATACGCATGGGAGAAGGTGTCGAGAGTGGGGCTTCACTAACTGACTTAGCCTTAACGTGGGCTCACGTGCACAGCTACAGCCTTGCTGATTCTCATGTGCCAATATTTGTTCATCGACCATTACTGAAGTTAATTCAAAATGTAACAACTGGAACTTGACAGTAGGCGAGTGCTGATTATAATTATTACAACGTTTCGGCCCATAGTATCGAGTCATCATTAGGTAAGAGGTACATTAAAAACAGTTGAATTCCAATCTTTTATGCTCGGTTATTTTTAAACTTTAGCAAAATATTTTTGTTCAAGAAAATGTAATGCACAACATACTGCCAATAATACGTTCTTTGGAAGTTAACTGCCTTTTTGAATGTAATTTTTACCTAATGATGACTCAATACTATGGGCCGAAACGTTGTAATAATTAAAATCAGAATCTGCCTACTATAAACGTTTCTGTTATTGTATTTTTGAATTAATTATTCAGTTTAGTAGGTTCCTCACTAAATATTGATAATGTTATTTTTTACTTTGCTTTTAATGTATGTTTTAGGTAACGTTGTTGTTAAAATCTTAATTTTATGTAATTAGTGATTGATTAATAATTATTACTTGAAAATTAGGGAAGGCTGGAGCAGATAACTCTCGACTAGCTTTGCGCGAAATTCGGGAACCTTTAAGTAATTACGTTTCGAGCACTTACATCAAAATGTTGTTTAATAACAACTTGCGTGTTTGTTGCTTCTATGTATTTGTACGTGTTTTATACTTGGTTATTTTTAATTACTACGTAATAACATTCGTTTATAATTATAATTTATTCAGGAAAGTACTACACTAGCTGGTAGGTTAATACAAGGACAGGTTAGCAGAGCCCAAGAAGCAGAAGAAAACGATGTTCTAAAGGGGGAACTTGTTGCTCTGAAAGATAAAGAAGCTGCATTAAGGCATGAGCTAGAGGACGCTTACAAGCAAATACAAGAATTGCACGAGGTATGTGTTTTTTTTTCTTTCTTTTAAACTTCAGCAACAGTTTTTGTTCAAAAAGTAATGCACAGAATACTGCCAATACACTTGCATAGATAGAGAAGAGTTAAAATACAACCCCATATTTATTAAATGACTAAAAACATATACATATATATATTATATGTGGAATAATTAGAAATTACTTTTTTATGTAAACTTCTATCTTTATGTTTTTAAAATGAGCTGGATAAAAATACAAAAATAGTGAATTCAACACTTAAGTTCAAATGGAGCATTTTGTCTTGCAACAAAGACAACAATTAACTCAACAAGGCTGTGCAACATCTTGCTTCTTAAATTGTAATTCTTTTATTTGTATTTAAAAAAAGAAATACCCATATAATAGTTATGGAACTGACTGCAATGTTAACGGTATTATTCTTTATATTTTTTGTTGCTCATAAGTTAGAGATTCTGTAACCAGTAAAGTCGTGAGTTTATAAGCAATTTGGTGCATAAATAGTTGAGAAAAATGTTTTAAAATATGGTGATTCTAGGGTTAAGTTATATTTAAAATATATTTTCAAACTTTAAGCAATACATAGTTTTGCAAACTATGATTAAATTATGGTTTCATTAAGTAATTAATCTAGCTAATCATACATTTTACAGCAATGTAAAGTTTATCTCAATTTTTCTTTATTATGATATTCAGGTCAATAAGACACTGCGAGAAAATACACCTGATAATTATATTGCCAGTAAACTGCGAGAAGCGGAGGGACAATTGGCCCTGAAAGAGTTGCGACAGCAAATCACAGATCTTCAGCTGATGTGTGAGGTAAAGAAAAACCTTCATTGGTTTGTCATTCAAAGATTTTTTTAAAAGTGTTTATACCATCATGTTTTATCGCCTGATTTTGTGCTGTTTAAAAATAAACATTTCATATGAAGTTAGTTTACATGCATTATTAGGTAAGTTTACAAATGATCTGCTAAAAACGAATTCATTAATAAAAACTTAGTACGTTTTCACAAGAAGAGTTTATATTTGTTTCTAAACCTAAAGACCCATAGTCAAAAACAGATTGTTTTTAGAATCTTAACTTAAACTTCACTTTTCTATATAACTTTATTCATCTGAATATAGTGAAATGACAAAAGACGTCTTTCTCCAGATAAACTGGTTTAATACTCAATATTTCGCCTTACGGCTTCTTCAGAAACTATCTACAACATACGCTACAAACCGGTTTTTGAATGGCGTTTCAAGTAGAACCACTGTAGCACAGATAAAAAAAGTTGCAAAGACATCCGCTGTATCGGATTTTTAGGTCCGATTTTGTTGGACCTGGGAGGGTCATGTACATCTTCATCTTCTTTCTCCTGGCAACAGCAGACTCAAACATAAGTTTTGAATTATTCGGCTGCATGCTCATTGGCTCATGTATGAAGTTTTGTTTCGAAGGTTGTACTTAACATGTTCTCCTTGTATACTGGTGAGGATACCGAAAGGCTGTAGAAATTACATGAATGTGCGAATAATCCACCAGTCAGTTCTATTTATCTACCATGGTAATCAAGTAGCGATGCATTTAAAAGTAATACATATGATCGGACAGTAATGCTGTAATAGCTAATGAGAGTGAAAATCAGTACACAATAGTCAGTGCGAATCAAAAGTGGTTTACTTTAGTAATGAATCAGCTAAGTAAAGCTGTCCGCCAGAAGGCATGTTCAATGTCAGCGTGCACACGCGATCATTGAAAACTTCTGTTTCAATCTACCAGAAGCTTTTACTATATGTACTATAGTAGTTTTATTTTAAACATTATTAAAAACAAAACAAAAAGTTTGTATAAATCTCCTGATGAGTCCTTAAAGAAAAAAGTTTGGAGAAACAAGTCGTTTTTGTACTCAATATATTCAACAAGTCAAGTAAAAAAATAAAACAAAAAACAACCAGTTAGTGTTGCATAAAATTAAAAATAAGCTTAAACACTATTTAAATAGTCTCTTTGTATTGATATGTACCTACAATGTGTGGAAATTTTACACCTTTTACTTGGTCATGCAGCCACATTCATGAAATATCCCACTTGTAGTCATATAGATAAACCAATCTCCCCTCGTATAATTCAACCAATCATTTCTTTATATAAAACTAGCAGAGTACACGGCATTGGTCGGATGAAAATGACTTTAAATATCCCTAGTTGTTTTAATTAAATAAACCATATTAATCGTGATTTTTTGCAAAAACAAATTCTTTACCTAACTAAATATTTTTTATTAAAATCAATAAAAATAACAATGTGCGAAAAAAATATTACTTTGCTAAAGATATTTGGATCAAAGCAAAACCGGGTACACTGCTCTTGCTTCTTGCATATGCTTTGCATGATATTTCAAGTTTCCAAAAAACCAATTTCCTACCTTTTGGTGTCGTGATTTCTACAGTTTGGTCAAGTGTCACTTGCAGCATATTCTGACTTCACTATCGCCCCAGTTAATGAAGAACTGGTTTATTCTCTTCTCTTTGTAACACAACGTAAATGTAAATTTGTCGATACCAAACTAAGTCATCTATAGGTGATTCTTGGAGTACACGCAAGCAAAGCAAAAGATATGCCTAAAGCAAGCGCATTTATTTGAAAGAGTGTGTGCGCGCATGTTCGTGAGAGAGTCCCAGCCATTTTCAGTTAAGGGGGGTTAGAGAGTTGGTATGTATGTGTAGAAAAAAAAGAGAGAGGGAGAGAAAATGAGCAGAGAAGCAAATGAAGGCTGCACGAAGTTTTTAAATCGTTTTATCACATAATTGATCATGGATAGAATGATTAGAAGAAGTCCTAACACAGAGAAGAAACGTAAATAATAGCCCTCTTGATACACATTATCAAAACAATCCGGCCTTTTCAATTTGAGACCAATTGGTTATCTTGTTTCCCGAAAAATTGCTATATTGCTCACTTTGGCCTCAATCTGTGGCCTCTGAGGCTGCACCCATGTAGTCCATGTTACTTCGCACATAAAGTTGTATTGTTTGTTTGTTTTGGAATTTCGCGCAAAGCTACACGAGGGCTATCTGCGCTAGCCGTCCCTCA